GAAGTCGGAGCTGCAGAAGAGACACACCTGCACTGACCTGGGTGAACTGCGTAGCTACCTTGGCTTGCAGATCACCCGGGACAGAGCTCGCCGCACCATTACCCTGACTCAGTCACACATGGTGCAGCAGGTCCTTCAGCGCTTCGGCTTCCAGTTCTCCTCACCACAGGCCACACCTCTGGCTACCAGCCACTCGCTCTCAGCTCCACCTTCGGACGAGTCCGTAGAGCCGAGTGGCCCGTACCCAGAGCTTGTAGGTTGCCTCATGTACCTGATGACTTGCACGCGACCTGACCTCGCGTACCCACTTAGCATCCTTGCTCGTTACGTTGCGCCTGGGAGACACAGGCGAGAGCACTGGGAGGCTGCTAAGAGGGTGCTGCGTTACTTGTGCAGTACATCAGGCATGGGGCTGGTGCTTGGAGGACGCGACAGAGTTGTCCTCACTGGTCACTCGGACGCTTCTTGGGTGGACGACCTGGCTACGCAGCGGTCGTCACAGGGTTACACCTTCAGCCTTGGCTCTGGTTCTGTCTCGTGGCGGTCCACCCGCTCTTCTTCTGTTCTCGGCTCTAGTTGTGAGGCTGAGATCTACGCCACAGCCATGGCTGCACAGGAGTTACGCTGGCTCACCTACCTGCTGACTGACTTGGGAGAGCGGCCTAGTTCTCCTCCAGTTCTGTACGGTGACAACAAGGCGGCTCTTGCCTTGTGTCAGGAGCACAGACTGGAGCACAGGACGAAGCACATTGCTCTTCGCTACTTTCTTGCTCGAGAGCTTCAGCAGCGCGGTCAGCTTCGACTTGTGTACGTGGACTCGAAGGCCAACACTGCTGATATCTTCACCAAGGCGCTCCCGCCTAGTGATCATCAGCGGCACTGTACTTCTTTAGGCCTTGTGTCCACGTTCCCTCACTTGCTCACTGCTTGACACTCTTTGTACTGTACTTTATATATATCTTGTTGCTTGCTTGCTAGGTTTTGATCACTGTGTTGCTTGTCTTGTACTATATCTAGCACTGCATGTGAACTGGCCTTGTGGCCTTTGCTTGTGCTCGGAGTGTGGTGACGTTGTGATCCACCCTGGGCTTGCGTTGCTTTGCTGGACTGGTCTTGTGACCCTTTGTTCTCCCCCACTTTGCCTATGGGGGTGTGTTAAACTGTATTATGTTATATGTTGGTAGGCTGTAGTGGGGTAGCCAATATGGGGTACAACCCCAACTAGGGTTTCCTATTTGTACCCTTGCTTCTTTCAATCCAACCATTCTTGCCTAGTTCTATTAACATGTTGTGCTGGACAAGGGGTAAGATGATTGCGCCTGCTGCTGCGTTAAAGCTGCAGCTATGGACGATTGACTGCGCCAACAAACATATGCGAACATCAGGGCTTCATATTCGTTTTGGGCCACCCTTAGTAATCAGGGTTCTAGGTATAGTCAACCCTGATGCGTAGGGTAAACTTTTTGTTTCCCTGACAAAAGAAGGGTAAATAAAAAATTAGTCTGTTAGGCCAGAGTTTTTTTTTTAACCTAAGTATATTAATAAACACGACTGTATGAGGTACTTAGTGGCTCAGTTGGTTAGATAATAGGTAATGTGGGAGAGATCGTAGGTTCAAGTCTCGCTGTCGGATGGGCCCATATACGATTTCGTCTCGCTACAGAGCATTCGGTAGCAGTATAACTAAGATTGTACAGTATACAGTCAGGGAAAAAAGTTCCATACTCTGTTTTTCAAAGGGTACAAGAAACTTACACTTTCTGGCCTAGGGTAAAAAATCCGTTACCCTGCCTGTGAAAGGGTAACTGAAAAAAAGCGGCCGCCAGTCAGTGCAAAAAGGGTATTTTACCCTGATAACGAGAGGCCTGGCGAACATATACAACTGCAGTGCAGCACGAAGGTCTGCAAATGAATTAAATTTGCATTGATGCTTGGTGGTGGTGGACACAAGGTCCCTTGCTACTGCACTCTGTGCAACACCCATCACCCTCCTGATTTCTTTCATAAATCCAAACCCCACAGGAACTGGCACGGAGAAAAATCTGGCGGTGTGCACCAAATCGACCGGCGGTGATGGGAATGTGATAATGCTTAGCCTCTAACTCACTGCTCGCCTCATACCGGTACCTAGATTCGCATGCAGATCCTGAGAACCCACCATCACACATGCTATCAGAAGAACCATATCAGATCACACATATCTGATGTGCTTGCTCGCACATCACATTAGATACTCACATGACATGCCCATCCATCCGCACACACACAGGACTCTCCAACCCACACAGAAACGGTACTCACTCACTCCCCATCCTCTTAAACCTCCTCTCTTAATCTGATGACATAACCTACCAGTACCACAAATAATCGCTTGTTTTCATGTCATATGCAAAGCCACAACCGGTCATGCATCAACAAGCACACAACTTCCACCATTTCCACCAAAGCGCACCATAACATGCGCTGAAGCAACCAGCCCAAACACACCGCACACCACCACACACAACACCACAGACAAACCACACCACCCCCTCCCCAGAAGCACCCCCTTTTCCAACCCAGCCAATCTCTCCCCTGCAACACACCACGCCACGGCATTCACCTATAACACGCGCTTGTAGACAAAACCAAAACCAAAACCAAAACCTAACAACTCCCAACCAAGTGGTCTGTCTCCTCGCCTCGCCACCCTTGTTGAGCACCCCAGGAGATAAAAAGAGATGTTTTGAGACGTCTCAAAAGCCCCAGCATGCGCTCCTCCTTTTGAGTCGAGTCAAAAGCAAGCCGTCTGTCTCCACCGTTGCTCACGGAGCCGCCATGCGCTTGCCCCTCCCCATGGAGAACCCTCTGCTGCCATCAGGACCCTTCGGCCCTGGCAACGGCTTGCTCCCCACCGCCTCCCCCCCACCGCCACTGCTCCCACCACCGCCGCCGCTGCCGCCAGCAGCAGCAGCAGCAGCTGCTGCGCCAGGCGCACTCCCTTTAGGACCGCCCCCTCCTGCCCCACCTCGGCCTGTTCCAGACGCTGCTGATCCTCCCGCTCCCCCTGTCGCCCCGTGCTTGCCTCCCCCTCCCTCTCCCCCACGCCCCCTGCCCTTCCCTGCCCTGCTCTTCTTGCCGTGAGCAGTGGGCGATGCAGCAGGTGCAGAGGTGCAGGAGTCACACAGAGGGTCACCTGAGCACGCCTGTGCATGCGTATGCATGTGCATGTGCTGACGTACATAAGGGGGGTATGGGTCATAAGGGATGGAAATAAGGACAACATGGAAGGCACATTCATGGAGGTTGTTGGAATGAACTGGCCGTGGGTGAAAGGGCCCAAAAAAAAAAAAAAAAAAAGGGCGAATAAGAAGGTTAGGATGAGCGCCACATCATAGGTACAAACACCATGAACCTGAGTCGTGATACACTTGAAGAACTGGCTGTCAAAACGACTTGAGCAGACTGGGGCAGGCAGGCAGATCACTCACCTTGTCCTCACTGCTCACCTTGTTCTCATTGCCGGTCGCCAGTGAATGCCCTCCCTCTCCTCCCCTCCTGCCGCTCTTATCAATCCGCTCCATGCCGCTCCCGCCCCTGTCCCCCGTGTCCCCAGGAACCCCAGCCGTGCCAGCTGACTTCCTGCCCCTGCCTGTTGCTTCCACATGCTGCCCCTGCCTCTGCTGATCCTGCTGCTGCTGCTACGGCTGCTGCTGCTGCTGCTGCTGCTGCCGCTCGTGCCTCACCTGCGCTTGGTGCTGCTTCAACTGCGCCTGTTCCTGCTGCCAATGCTCCTGCTGCTGCTTCAGCTTGTTTTGCTCCTGCTGCCACTGCTCCTGCTGCTTCTGCAGCTGCTGCTGCAGCTCCTGCTGCTGCTGCATCAACTGCTTCTGAAATGGAAACATAACAGCAGCAAACATGAGGACAAATGCAACTATTCAACACAAGCACGGTCCGTTGCCAAGCGCGGATGGTTGAAATACATACATGTTGAGTGACTTTTGTTCCAGTGGTGATCTCGCACGTGATGAGAATGAGATGGCTCTAAAACAGCAGGCTTTACACAGCAGGACTTACTTTGGTGAGTTTCTTGAACAGCTTGACGTGCATGCCATGGCGCCAGTCACTGCTGTTCAGAGTCTCCACCTGGCAGCACGGGACGGGAAAATTGGTGGTAAAAGTGCATTTAAATCTTCCAGAAAACGAGGGGTGCACATGTGGTGGGAAGCGCAGTGCGCACGTGTGATCATCCACTATCCATGCGCGTTGTGCTACCATCCAAGTAATAATTGAGTGACCCTAATGTAGAACCTGACTGGAGGCCGTTTGCATTCCTTCTGCGTAACTTGGAGGGCCTCAAAACTTAGAGACACAGATAGCATAGCGGAGAGATGGCAGCTGGGGCAGGTCATGTGGCTAGTGCTCTTGCATGTGGGAAGAAGCAGAGGGCACGGAAGGAAGTGAGGAGCATAGGTGAGGGAGGGGCAGCGGGGTAGGCAGTAACTGAGAATTCTTCGCAGTTAGGGAATGAAGAGACATACCGCATTGTGGGCTTCTTTCACTGTCTCAAACTCGATCAAAGCGTGGAACTGAAAAGAGGTAAGGCAAGGTACAGATGGAGGCGAAGGAAGTGCACACACACACACATGCACACACACACATGCACACAAACATGCACGCACGCACACAAACATGCACGCACGCACACACACACACACACACGCACGCACACACACACACACGCACGCACGCACACACACACACACACACACACACGCACGCACGCACGCACGCACGCGCGCGCGCGCACACACACACACGAGAAAGAGCACGTTGCATCATGGCGTGAATATGGAAGCACGCGCACCCATGCGTATGCGTGCACAGACACAGTAAAATAAACACAAGCAACGCAGAGAGCTCAAAAAGCACTAATTTCCTTCACTTCTTCTCGCCACTCAATCACCCACATCTCCCCACCTGCAAACACACTGGCGACTTTTGAGATTTCAGAAAGCAATTCAGCCAGACTTGATCAGCTGCTAACAGCCACAGCACCACTTGGTGCAGCCACACCATTCCAGTACAACTCACCTTCACACATGATGCTGCCTCCCCATGGCTGTTGCTACCGCCAGTACCGAGGTCAGCAGCAGCAGCAGCAGTAGCAGCAGCAGCAGCAGCGGCGGCAGCGGCACTAACAGTGGCAGGCGCAGCGGTGGATAAAGGGGTTTCAGCATTGGACGGAGTAGCAGCATCAGCAGCAGAAGGGGCAGCAGCAGCGGCAGAAGGGGCAGTAGCAGCGGCAGAAGGGGCAGTAGCAGCGGCAGAAGGGGCAGTGGCAGCAGCAACTCGCACGTGGGCCACAGCAGAAGTGTGACCCGACGCCTGTGGGGTGCAGAGACGCACCATGCGCACCCTGCCAGTCATCCACCGCACACACATACACACACACACATGCAGAGGTTGGAGGGGAGGGAGGGAGGGGAGGAAAGCAGGGAGCAATGGAGAAGGCGGAGATAAAGTGCCCAAGGTGGAGATAAAGTGCCCAAGGTGGAGATAAAGTGCCCAAGGTGGAGATAAGGGAATATGTAGAGATGAAGAAGTGGGGGGAAGGGATACAAGGTGGAGCAGATGGCATAGGACCGACCAATCATGACATATCATACGACATTCTTCCTCTCTTTCTCACTCTTCGTTTCAACACCACCGCCATACTGTCACAGAGATATACACACGTATGTCCTTACATCTATATATTCACCCAAGTTTCAACCTACAGGCCCCAAACACGTCTATTCCTCACATGTTGCCCCAGAACCCCCATATGCTAACCTGCCAGCCTTCTTGAAAATGTCCTCTATAGCGGAGAGGGAGAGGTTGGGCGGGAGGTTGTGGGCCACGACTGTGCGTGCCTGCAGCTCATCCACGTCTGTGAAGGGCAGGGGGTGCTGCCTGCGCACCCTCATGCCATCGTCACTCAACACCTGACGTGAGAGGACAGAGGAGAGGTGAGCATGTTTGAGTCGACTCAACGGAAAGACGACTGTGCGTGCTTGCAGCTCATTCACGTTTGTGAACGGCAGTGGGTGCTGCCTGCGCACGCTCATGCCATCGTCACTCAACGCCTAATGGGCGAGAGCAGTGGAGCAGAGGCGCGGAGCAGCACAGCACAGCACAGCATGGTGCGGCATGGCACAGAAGCACAATGGCGGCAGTGACAAGAAAAGGTGTTAGTGACGGAAAACGGCGGCAGCAGGGTGGCAAAAAACGGGCGGGAGTGACAAACTAGGGCGGCAAGGGCAAGAAACAGGGAGTGAGGAGAGGGTGTGGGAAAACCTGAGCAAGCAAGATAGGATTGCAGTGAGGTGAGGGGAGAGACTAACCAAGGTAGTGGAGGCTTCACGGATGGCATCGGCAAGCAATGCGACGATGTGCCCCGGTGCAGTTGACATGCTGGCATGCAGCATCGACCGCACCTCCCTGAACTGCACCAGGTACCAGAGAGAGACTGGTGTGGTGGGGTGTGGTGTGGTGTGGTGTGATGGGGTGGGGTGGGGTGTGGTGGGGTGTGGTGTGGGTGGAGGGGAAGGGAAGGACGGTCTGGAGACAGCAGGGAGAAATTTCTTGTCAAACTCACAACCAATTACGATGCCAGTCGGCCACTCCCACACACACTCCCTCTCACTCTCTCATTCACTCCCTCACTCGAGAGAGCATTAACTGAAGCCTTTGATTCTCTACATGGCCATGACATGCGTTAAGCTTTTGGCCAAAGACCAGAGCGTCACAATTGGATTCATCTGGAGACAGGAACGCATGGAGAACGTTGCATTGCAGCATAACGAGGTGCATCAAAAGAGAACATTGCGCTGCAAGTTGCGGCATGCAAGGACTGTGAGGGGAGAGAGCACTGACCGAAGCCTTGAGGGTCCTGGTTGGCCATGGATAGGAGGTGATGGTCGTACGGCATGTTGTGATCGCTGAAATAGAACTCCACCTGCTCTCATGCACATGCACATGCACATGCACATGCACACATGCAAACGTATTTTGTTCGAGGGTAAACACACTAATCCACAACACACCACTCTCACGCACACAAGCTTGTCTTCTCCTCTCCCATTCAACAAACGTTTTGGCACACTCAAGTCAAATGCTACACTCGTCTCCTTCGGCCTCCTTCCATGGCCCCCATCTCTCTCCCCCCTCCCCTCTCGCCCCCCATCTCCGCCACTCTCTACCCCCCATCACCGCGTACCAGTTTCACCAGCACCTCTTTCACATCCGCCTCTTGCTCCAAAGTCGCCTTAGAGCGTCGCACCATGCCCCCTCCCCCTCCGCCTCCGCCCCCTCCGCCTCCTCCTCCCGCCTCCCTCCTCCCCTTTGCGCCCTTCTCGTGTTGTCCCTGCGCATGCCCCTGCGCCTGCGCATTGCCCTGCCCCTGCGCGTGCCCCTGCGCGTGCCCCTGCGCGTGCCCCTGCGCCTGCCCACGCGCGTGCCCATGCGGGTGGCCCTGTGACTGAGCATGCCTTTGCGCGTGTCCGTGCCCGCGCCCTCGCCCTTGCCCCTGCCCTTGCACCTGCACATCCATCCACCACCACCCTCCAGCAATCAGTCAGCCTCGTTCTACTTGCTTACACGTAACACGTGGCACACTCTCATTGCACACACACACAGCACGGCGCGCACTAGACTTGCGCGCAGGATACTCACACGAGCCGTTCCGCCCGCCCCGCCACCACCTGCCAATCCATCCGCGCGTCCCTCTCTCCTTCCGCCGTCCGCTCCGCTTCCCCACATCGCCCCAAGCGCATCCTGCGCGCCCCAAACCCCCCCCGCTTCCCACCCCGCGTCCCCCCACCCTCCGCCAAGCCCCTGCGCCAGCGCGTGCGCATGAAGAGCTCCGCCATACCCCGCGAACGGGGCAGCGGCGGTGCCTTGTTGCGCCGCTCCAGCCGAGTTAAACGGCAGGGGGAGCAGCGGCTGCGGGGGCAGCAGGTGCGCCGGTAGCCATCCAACGTCCGCGCCTGACCCCGCGCCTGCGCCTGCGCCCGCGCATGCGAAGCGCGGGACGAAGGCGGGAGCGGCGGCGTTAAGCGCGCTGCTAGTGCCAGCAGTGGCTACAACGGCAGCGGGAGTGACCCCAGACCCGCCAGACGACTGCTCGGCACCGACAGCGGCAGCGGCGGGAGTGGCGGGAGCAGCAGGAGCGGGAGCAGCGGCAGAGGGTACACCCCCATCGGCGGGAATTTCATCCGCGGAAGGATCACCCGCGGGAATTTCACCTCCTTCACCCTTTCCCCCAGCACCGGGGTCTTGCGCGGGTGCTTCGACCGGGCCTTGGGATTGCCGCGCGGGGTCGGCCGACGGGGACTGCGACGGCGTCTGTGGCGACGCGTCCGGCTGCCCTATCGCGCCAGCGCCCGCCACTGACGTGGCGGGATTCGCTGTGAATTCCGCCGTCGGAGGAGGCGGGGATTGCGCTGGATCATCCGATGGAGTTGCAGACGCCATGGATGCGAGAGATCGAGGCGCGAGATCGAGCAACGTCCGACGACGGATCGGGCGACCTGGCAAGACGGGAAAGACTCGCAGGGCTGGCAGGGACGGCGGGGCTAGCAGGGATGGCAGGGACGCAAGGAAGACAGAGGCCGAGGAAAAGGCAGGGCTCCCGCCGTGCCTGCCACTCCTCCCCGCAACCTCCGCTCCGCTCGCCCGCGGCAACCTGGTGTGGATCTCAGGAGTTGCAGTGCAAGCCCGAATCCTGCAGCGGCAACAGTACCTGGGCGGTTGAAAAAGGGACTGCTGGGGCGGTTGCGACGGAGTGTGCGAAACGGAAACACGTAACGGCGGAGTTCGCCGTGTGAAATTACAACCTTCTAGATGCGTTCTCGTGTTGCGCATTGTTTGGAATTCTGGTGGATCTAAACCACGTATAACTTTTGATGGTTCATATGCATAATCACAAAATAACAGATTTTGCTTAATAATACAAATTACACATACATAGACACACAACAGACCCAAGCAATTACTACTCTACACATTCCCTTGATCAGCACGAAACCTGCGTGCATCTTCATGCACTTCCCACGGGGAAGTCTCCACCATCTCCTGCCCTCTCTGCCACGCCCGCCTCCCCCCACGCCGCACACCCTGCCACCTGCGCTGCTCCCCCCCGCTGCTGCTGCTCTCTCCGCTACTGTGGGAGATGAAGGGGCGGCCATACAGGGGTTCCCTGGGCGGCGGGGAGGAGTCAGTGGTGCTGCCCAGCTCACTCACACTGCCAAAGCTGCGCGTGGGGCTCTGCTGCTGCTGCCGCTGCGGCCCCGAGGGGGTTCCTGTACAATTCACGGAGAATCACACATGGAGAACAGAATTTTTAGCGAAAAACGGCATGAAATCACATGGTATGGCCTGGCACAGGGTTGCATAACATGATGCACATGACATAGCATGGACAAGGTAGGGCAAGCCGCTGATGGTCTCACCGGGCGCGGATCGGCGAGCCGTGGGCCATTTCACCCCAGCAGGCGGCCACTCCTCCAACCCCCCCACAACCCCACCGCCCACCCCCTCTCCCTGCCCCACCCCGCCATTCGCCGCTGCCGCTCCTGCCCCCTTGAACCCGGTGACTTTGGTGCGCATGGCCGCAGCCAGCACGTCGAAATCCTGTGCCTGGAGCTTGGGTGGCGCTGCTGGTGCGGGGCGCGCGAGCTGCAGCAGCAGGTACAGCAGCGAGAGCAGCGCCCAGGGGAGCAGAGGCACGCCCACACACAACTGCAGCGACATTGGTGTGTTGGGTTGGTGGAGGAGTGTGGCGATAGGGTTAGAGAATGTGTGGAGGGTAGGTAGACGAGTTGACAGGGACTTAGGGAGCTACACACGCACCCACACCTACAGCACCCGTGGCTGTTCCCCTCTTGGACTCACCCAGAGTGGTTGGCCTAGCAGCATGGCCAGTTGCAGAGCTCCCAGAGCAACATTAGCCGCTCCTCCCAGCAGCAACCCCACTCCCAGCACTCTGTGCAGCATCAACCACCATGCATGCCCAGGCGAGCCCGGGCTTGGGCGGCACAGCAGCGCACAGACCACTTCAATCACGAGGAAAAGGACGAGCGCGCTGCCCAGGAGCCCGTGCGGGGTGAGAAGGGCGGCGAGGCGGTGAGGCGCGGCGGGGGCTATGGAGAGAAGGAGGGCGACGTTGGTGCGAAAGAAAGAGGCTGCGTGGATGGCGAAGGCAAGTGCGGGTACGAGGAGGAGGGGCGTGAGGAGAGCAGAGAGGACGTGAAGTGGGTGGAAGAGAGGGCGGTTGGAGTCAGGGCGAACTGCTAGGAGCCTGGGGGAGGGTGGTGAAGGGGTGGGTTGATGGAGAGGAGGCAGGTGTGAGTAGGCGAACAACCGAGGGGATCAAGGCACACAACAACGCAACAAGCACAACCAGCAGGCAAATTTCTGATGACAACGGGAGTGAGTGAGTGATGGCACATGTGTGACTGACCGTGCAGCGACAGCGGAGAGAGGGAGGAGGAAGCAGAAGACAAAGGCCATGATGGACGCGTGGGCGATGAGCCATGGGAAGGGCGACGCCTGCACCTGCGCCTCCCCTGACGCCCAGTTCAACCACAGAGAACCCCTGGGGACACACACAGGCAGAGTGAGGGCGAGAGAAAGAGTAGAGCAGCTCAACAGGCAGATGACGCAAGGCATGAGGGAGCGGGGGCTCTTCAGGTGGTGTGTGGAGGGACATCATGCAGGTGGCAGGACGGCAGGGCCAATCAGGCAAGATTGAGAGAAACAGGCAAAAAAACGATGGTGGAAGGAGAGGCGCCTGAGCAAGGGGAGTGTACCTGTGCTGGAGGTAGTGGTTGGGCAGGGAAGCAGACCCGCCAGAGGAGGGGAAGGCACTGGGAGCAAAGGCCCACACGAGGTGCGAGAGCTCGTCTGCCCCAAGGGAGATGTTGGGGGCGCCGTTGCGCTGCGTGTAGGGGCGTGAGAAGGAGAGCAGCGCCGAGCCGTTGACGAGCGTGACAGAGGCGTTGGAGAATTCCAGGCCGTTGCTGCTCTGCACGCCCTGCGCTGTGTGGTTCACTAGGACGAATGACCGCACCACTGAGGCTCCTCCTACTGCTCCGTTTCCTGCTGCTGTTGCTGCTGCTGCTGTTGCTGCTGCTGCTGTTGCTGCTGCTGCACGTGAATAGGGAGACACCCGGGTGACGCCAGCGCTGGCTTGGCTGACATCAGCAAGCAGCACGTAGCTCCCAAGGGCGGAGAGCTTGGAGGGAGACGAGGAGGAGGAGGAGGAGAGGGAGGAGGAAGGGGAGGGAGTGAAGCCTAGAGAGAGCCATCCGTTGCAGTCGGTAACTTGCAGGGCGAGGGAGAGGGAGGTGGGGAGGAGGGCCCAATGGAGAGTCACTCTGTACAGGCAGGGGAGGGGAAGAGAGAGGGAGCGTAAAAGAAGATTTGGGCCTAGGCAGGATGGAATAGGGAAGTTTGACTCTGGAGTGGAAGGTGATGGAAAAGAGCGCAAGGCATGATGGGGTTGCTGAGAGAGTGAGGCATAAGGCACAAGGCACAAGGCACAGTCAACAACATACAGTGTGCGGGAAAACAGAGGCTCACCGATCGCCTTGCAGGGCGAGGGAGCAGGAGAAGCCAGGCAGGGGCGAGGGTTGGCAGAGGCGGGAGTCGAGGGGATCGGAGCCGAGAAAGAGGTTGATGCGCGGGAATGAGCCGCGGCTGCTGCTGCTGCCCCCATGGTACTTTAGCTCGTCTGGCCTGCCCATGGGCAACGGGGCACATGGAGAGAGGAGTTGAAGAACACAATGCAGGACGTACCAGGGAGGGAGGAGGAATGATGCAAGAGACTTCGTAGGCATTGCATGAAAGCAGGGGCAGCAGTGGAAGCAGTGGCGGCGCTATGGTTGGCATGGAGCAGCATGTAACCTCGGTGTGCGTAGCATACCTATAGAAGGCAGCAATCTGCTGCTGCACGAGGGGAGGCAGCGAGGCAGCGGCGGCGGAGGAGGGGAAGGGCGATGAGGAGAGGGTCGAGAGAGGCTGGGTGGTTGAGGCGGAAGCGGAGGAGAGGAGAGGTCCAGCGGAAGGGAGGGCAGGCGAGGGCTGACCAAGAGCCCAGACAACGGTGAAGTCATTATCAGTGATGGCATGGTCGAATGCTGCATGGTGGGTGGGACCAGATTGGGGAAGAAAAGAAGGGTAAGCGAAAGGGCTTTTGAAAGAATGAGCCTACCACAGTTCACAATGAAGCGCGGAGAGTGAGAGAGCAGACTCACAGTCATCGGAAGGTAGCAGGGGGCGTCTGAATTTGACATAAGTGGTGCCAGAGGCAGCGTCTTCATGCGCTGTGGCAGCTGTGATGTCGTCCGTGCCACCCATTGCCGTGTCTGCTATGGGCATGCCATGGGTGGAAAACGTCCATGCGTCCTGTTGAGACAGGAAGGGGAGGAGCAGGAGGAGAGGGACGTTGAAGGGCAGACGAGAGATGGGGTTGACGGTTGATACTGAAACAGGAACAGAGGAACATTGTCAACATGACTGTTGAGCTGCTTGACAACACACGCACCTGGATGCGGTAGTATCCCCCTCGGGCTGTGACAATGGTCATATCCTGCTGGAACATTGCTGGCATGGCCCCTGCTGATGCCTCCCGCACTGGCACCCTGTGCTGCCTCTCCACCACGATTGACGGCGGCGCAGAGGGAGGAGGCGTCGCAGCAGCGGTGGTGCGAGAGAGGGATGCAGAGGAGGGCGACGGGGAAGAGGAGGAGGAGGAGGAGAGAGCAGCAGTGGATCTGGGGCGAGCAGTTGTAGCAGCAGGGTGTGCAGATGTAGAAGTGGGGTGTGCAGTTGCTGCAGAGACGCTTGCTGCTGCAGCCGGAACAGTCACCGTGTGAGTCTCCCTTGTTTCTCGTCCTCTCCCACGCTGCACACTTGAGCTGCTTCCAGCCGCAGCAGTGCCACTGCCTGCTGCATCACCCTCTGCTGCATCAGCCTCTGCTGCATCAGCCTCTGCTGCATTTGCATCCGCATTGTCGCCTGCCCTGTTGCTGCTGCCTCCACTCCTGCGCCTGCTGCTCACGCTCTCACGCCCATTGAAGCCCCCCGAAGCTGATTGCGATTCTGTTTGTGGTCCAGAGCGAGAGTTGGACCTGTCCCCGGACCTTCCTCCATCCCTCCCTTCTTGTGGTTCTCTGCTCCTCTCTCTCCTGTCTCCCCCACCTCGCCTCTCTTCCCCTGCACCAACCCCACCTCTCCTCTCGCCCCCCGCACCTCCCCCACCCCTCGTCTCCTCATCCTGATTCCCCCCATCCCTCTTCTCCTCCCCCCTGCCTCTCCTCCCTTCTCCCGTGTCTCCTCCACCCCTCCTCTCCTCTTCAGGAGGGGATCGGCGGTTTCGGCGGCCAGTGGGAGTGCGGAGAGGAGCAGGAGGAGGGAGCGCGGGGGGGGAGGAGGAGAAGGGCGGGGAACAGGGGGCGGCGGGGAAGGGGAGGGCGGAGGAGGGGAAGGAGGCGAGGGGGGGAAAGGCGTGGCGCGAGAGGGGTTGATGTTGGGAGGTGGGACCCAGGGGAGGTTGGCCGGGCGCCAGCCAATGGCGACGTAGCTGGTGGTGGGTGCTGCAATGGCCACTTCAATCTGCAGCGGTGTTTGCATCGTATATGAGAGTAAGGACGGACGGTGGGAATGCCGAGGGGGAAACAGGGTAGATGAACATGTGTGATGAAGGTAGGTAGGGACAATGGCTGGCTGGCACCACAACCTACCGAAGCGGAAAATAGATCATAGACCATAATAGCACTGTCTGACTAGCTTAGTAGGACCTAGGTCTTCAGCACATAAGCATATACATAAGCATACATAGTCTAAGCACACTGGCTTAGTGCACATAAGCTGCTGATGCTGAGAGCACATACCTGCGGTCCAAAGGAGGCGAGCGCGGATCCCCCAGGCACCGACGCATCAGGGGTATCATCCTTGAGAATCTTCCACCATACCGTCAGGTACCGCACTCCACCGCCTGCAATCGCGCCGTCACTTCCAACGCCAGCAGAAGCGGCCGACGCAGCAGAGATGGTAGGAGTGAAAAGGCCCCCAGCAGACGCGTTTGTGATTGTGTTGGCAGCAGTGGTAGCGATGTGGATGGTGAGGTTGAATGGATACTCCCTCCACCAGGAGCTAGTGTCCACTGCTGCATCCAGAGACAGGGGCGAGCGCTGCGCACACTGTGGACCCATCCAGCCCTCCGCACAGAAGCACTGCCTGTGAGGGGGAGAGAGGAGAGACAGGGGGAGGAACAGAGGGGTGGGAGATAAGGAAATGTGAGACCAAGAGGAGAAGGGGAATTGTGTGAAGACGGGCTATTGGAAAGCACGAGGGGAGGCAAACGGGAGAGAAATGGAGAGAGTGTGTTGTGGGAAGCGACACAGAGAGGAGGAAGGAGGAGTGGAGGTGTGGAGCAGGGAGGAAGGTAGAGGAGAGGCTGTCGGTTGATGCAGTGGTGGTACGAGTTGATGGTTGACCTTGTGGGGGAGTTGGAGGAGAGGATGTCGATGCACTTGGCATTCACACCGCAGTCACTGTCCACTATGCACTCGTCCTTGCGCTCACAGTACGACCCTGACAGCGGCAGCTGCAGCGGGGGTACGCATGTAACAGGGATGAATGGTGAGTCGGGTAGTGAGTAGCTGGCATACAACAAGGTTGACGGATTATGGGGCAACAAGCCAGCGACTTGGAACTCGGCGATTGGAAGAAAGACTAGAAGCAAGCAGCATATGACGGGAAAGGGCACGCGCATAACGAAGCAAAGCAACAAGTGGTGCACGGAAGGGTGCAGCAGGGACCGGGGGAAGTGAGGCAGACAAGGCACCTGCGCAGGGCAGGCGCACTGCCAGGAGTCAGAGAGGGGCGAGAGGGCACAGGGTGCGATGCCCCCGCTGCAGCCATGGCACGCATTAGAACCTGCTGTCACCACCGACACATCCGCACAGCTCCACCTCACGTACGGCTCTGCTGCTGCTGCTAGCGCCTGGTTGTGGGGGGGGAGGTGGTATTGCATGGGAAGGAAGGGAGAGAAGGGAGGTCATGAAGAGGGGTGAGAGCTGGCAGAGGCAGGCATGGAAGGTTAGAAAGCGAGGAGGGAGTGTCAGTCCCAGGAAGGAAGGTCGAGGGTAGTGAGATAAGAGGGACTGCACACGAACAGAGAGGGAAGAGGGGGAAAGGGGGGTGAGGGGGAGGGGAGGGGCGGGGAGGGGGGATGGGATGGGAGTGCGGATGGTTGACAGCGGCCGGGGGAGCTGAAACAGAGAGTGCCTGATGCAAAAGGTTGTCTTGATAGAGAAATCTTACAACTCTAACTAGCAACGGACGGAGCCGAGGCATGGGACAGAAGCACGGAGGAGCACCTGATGTGTGAGGCGGATCGTGCAGCCGAAGCAGGGAGCAGCAGGGAGAGTGACCATCGCCCACTGAGCCGTGGGATTGGCCATTATGCCCCACGACGCTGCCGTCTCGTTTGTGAGCGCAGTAACCGCGTAACGCTGCAGCACCTTGCCGTCCACTCCTTCCACCACCAGTATCCGCTGCTCCCATGGGAACAGCTGGGAACGAGCGCTGAGAGTGACACGAGGGAAGCGAGGGGGGAAACGGCAAGGCGAGGAAACACGAACAAACTTCCGGTGAGTAAAAGCTGTTGTATATCATGCTGGTGGGGATGCTGTTCTGTAAGGGAGGGATCTGTTCATACAGCGGTTCGCTCGCCCACCCACTCAACTCCACCCACCCACTCACCCCAGTGGCCGCAGCAGCTCCACTTTGAATCCGCCAGCTGTCGCCATCGCCAGGCTCCACGTCACGTTCAGGCCCGCGCCAGCTGTCAGTGACGTCAGCGGGCTGCGGGGCCCGCGCTGCACGCCACATGGAGGCTGGTAGAGCCGCGAGTCCACGTCATCGTTCAGGTCCCGCGCGGGGGGGAAGGTGAGGCGGAAGGCGGAGGCGGGGGAGGGGAAGAGGCAGAGCGCGGGGAGCAAGCAGAGGAGGACGAGCGGAAGCAGGGCGGGTGGGGGAGGACAGGCGGAGGAGCGCGGATGGGCGCGCGCGTGTGGATGCGGGTGAGAAGACGCTGACGATGCCTGGAGTTCAGGAGCAAACGACGAGTCCGCTACTAACGCGCGCGGTGCACTCACGCCTTCTGAACGACTCAATCCGCCGCCATTCTCGCCAGAATGTCTAACAAGCCGCACCGCGGGAGAGCCACGGATGGCAACCGGCAAGCCAGCCGGTAACAGACGGGCAGATTCGGAGCGGCCAGGGCAGCAATAGACACCGTTATCGCTATGGCTCTCCCCCCATGCCACACGCGAGCCCGCCCCGCTCATGCTGACGCGACCCAAAGCGGATCGAAGCGACCCCACGGCCGCAGCCATGGCGGCAGCAGGAGGGCGTCTTGAGCCCAACGAGCCCGACGAGCCCAACGAGCTCGACGACCAGCCGAGCAGCAGCGAACGTCCCTCGGAAATGGCAAGGTAAATTCTACAAAATCCCCGGCGAGGAGTGTCTGTCGTCGCGTGGCAGGAGCCGAGCGACTACTAGAGTGGTGATGGAGTCGAATAGAGTTGAACGGAGGCGAACGGAAGAAGTAGGACGGTTGGGAACAGCTCACTGCTGGCCTATGTAAGAACGAGTGGATTGCGATGAGACGCGGGAGGGAATGAAGGTTATCTGGTGGACGCCACGCGCGATTGTGCTTCACTAGCCAGCCGCATGCACTCTGAGAGAGACACATGCGACTTGCCAGGGAACGGCTTAAATTCGCCATACTAGAAGACTAATGGGAAAGTGATAGAGAGAACCGTACGGTTTTCGATCGGAGCCGACGAGAGGCGACGAGACTGGTTGATTGCGATAGAGCGGAGGATGGGGAAGACAATCGAGGAACTGGGTTAGGGGGATCGAGACGGAAACTAAACTAGGAACCTCGAGCATTGAGAAAGAAAGTACGAGTGATGAAAGTGATTGAGTGAGCTGGGGGAAGACGAATTGAGAAGCAGCAAAAGGAAGTACTGCACAAATACTCTGTCGTGACGCGAATGGCAATCCCGATGGTTTGGCTGGAAAAGAGGGTATACAGGCTATACACGTGAATTCGATACCGTTGTAGTCGAAATCGCAACAGTGGACATAAACATTCGTCATTATTGTAAATCTCATCACTATATATGCATTCGGTGTTCTTCGCACAAATGAGGAACTTATTTGGCTGTGGTATGTAGTAAACGAGCAAGAACCATTAATGATGGGGAAGAGCAAATGGAGTCTATTGAATGACAAACGTTTTCTGAAACTATGGAATCACAACTGTTCGGGTAAACGCGGCCGTGCCTTAACTTCTGCGCAAAACACATCATGCAAGTTCTCCTTCAAACCCTCCCAGGTCCGCTGATGGGTGACAGATGCTGTCGCCTTGCCTTGCTGGTATTGGATATACTCCTTTGTGGTCACGTCTGCCACATGCAGCACACGAGCATGACGTTCCAGTAAAAAAAAAGACACAACGCTGTGTAACATGGAAATCCAATAATTTGGGCAGACAAATACATCAGACGACACTGTGGTGACATGCTGCGGACGAGTGAGTAGAAAGACAAGAAGTGTTACCGCAAAGGAGGATGGCGCAGTGGAGCAGCGCAAAGACAACCAGGCATGCGCCGTAGAAGGAGAGGGGCAGCAGCATCAGCAGCGCATACATCTGCCATGGCTGACCTTCTAGGCCCCTGCAGGGAACAGGCGTGGCGCAAGGTGGAGGGGAGAGATGAAGGCAGAGTTGGAAAGGGGAGAGCGAGCTAGTTCAGTGTGAGAGAAAAGAGCTTGAGTGAGTGTTATCACGGGCAATGAGAGGGTAGAACTTTGGTGAGTGGAGCCTTTGAAGGAATCTACAGTGAAGGAATCTACATTGAAGGAATCTACAGGGCTGAATCCCGTGTACCTGGACCAATCCACTGATGCCAGCTGTAAGCAGACTGACACGATGACTGCTGTGGCTGCCTGTTGAGAAGCAATGAGGGGTCGTGCGGCATTGGTCAGGTAAGACGTGCAAACGAGAGAAAGCACAGCAGAGGAGTGTTGAAAGGATTGGAAACTGAGGGACACAACGTATGAGTGGAGGGAGTACAGGACATGTGATGAACTGAATCATCAGTCTCGTCTGGCGCCTTAGAAACGGACTTCAACAGGGAAGAAGATGAGACATGGAGAACTGAGGGAGAAAGGCTGCATAAACGGAAAATAAGCCAGGGCGCTTTGTGCGCGCACATGAAAGGAAAAGGGTGGCAATGGCTGCAGATTACAGGGGGGTTCAGATGGCTGCAAGTGGATGGGAATGGGTGAAGGGAAAGTGTGAGGGAGTGGGGGAGAGGATGAGGGGCAAGGGTGAGTGGGAAGCACGATGGGGTTGATGGGCAAGGCGAGGCAGTACGAGGGAGGAGGCGAGGAGGAAGGCGATGAAGAAGCGGTGGTTGCGGCGCGCAATGCACGTGCCCAGGGCGTCACAGTGGTGGTCCAACCGCTGCTCGTGATGCATGGAGGGGTGCATAGAGGGGCGCATGGGATGAAGCATGGAGTTATGCATGGGGTGATGCATGGGGTGATGCATGGGGTGATGCATGGGGTGATGCATGGGGTGATGCATGGGTGATGCATGGGGTGATGCATGGGGTGATGCATGGGGTGATGCATGGGGTGATGCATGGGTGATGCATGGGGTGATGCATGGGGTGATGCATGGGGTGATGCATGGGGTGACGTATAGGGTGATGCATGAGAAGACAGGGATGGCGGGAATGAGGTGGAAAGGAAGCGTTTGAGAAGGCGAAATGCATGCAGGAAGGGGAAGGCATGGGAGCAAGAACAAAGACGGTGCTGAAATGGATTCAGGTTCTAAAGAAGAGGTTGAACTGAGGAGCATGAGAGGGCAGGGGGGCGCAGAAGAGAGGAGAGGGGGACAGGAGAGGACAAAATAGGGCAGAAGGAAAGGAGGCGCAGCAGCAAGTTGGCTGAAGGTCCCAATGACCTCCGAGTGTCAGAGTGTCAGTACGTTAACAGGTGAGTGCAGTATGTTATAGCAACGCACTCACCTCCATGCAGCACCCACACTCAGAGCAGTGGCTAGTCCTTGGTGCCTTCCACACATGGCACGTAATGCAGTACCGCTGTGTCTCCACCTCCTCCACCACTTCCGCCCCTCCTCCCCCTTTCTCTTCCGCGCCCCCCTCCGCTGGTTCCCCCTCCCTCTCCGCGCCCCCCTTCCCCTCGACAGGCAGCCCCATTTCTTCGTCGGTTGCGCCCGAGGGGGGAGTTCCGCGCTCCGCGGAGTGGGCGCTCGCGTGGCGGTTGCGCGGAAGCGCTTGGCGCGCAATGAGCTTGGCGCGCACCCACTGGCCGGTGGAGTCGCGCAGCAGCTCGTGGGCAACGTCCCCCATCTCCGCGCGCACCACCACGGGGTCTAGAGAGGCGGGGGAAAGGCAGGGGGAAGGTCGGCGCAAGATCGCGGGGGTCGGGGGAGGACAGGAAAGAGGAGAAGGGGGGAGTGTGGAGGCTGTTGGCGAGCAGTCTAACTGCCCGTGATTCGCGGCGCGCAACGCGAATCTCTTCTTGCTCAGTTTCTTCCGCTGGTTAATAAATCAATCGTAGCATCATTTCACCTGGAACTGCGGAGGGCGGTACGATGCCCGGGTCGACGTATCGGATGGCTAGCAGCAGCGCGAGCGACGCGACGGCGAAGACGACGATCGTGGCGACGAGCACGTATCGCACAGTGTCGTTGGGAAGCTGCCCGTCGGCTCTGTACAAGGAGGGAGAGAACGAAGAGAGCTTCGAGACGTGTTCGAGACGGCTCAAAACTCGACGAGCAAGCATCACAGAGTGTCGTTGGGAAGCTGTCCCACGGCTCCTCATTGATGAGAATGAGGGACGGGGAAAAGAGGGGAGAAAGGAGGGTGAGAGGGGGTGATGGTTCGGCAGGTTCACCCGAGAAGGCTGAAGACGCGGGCAGTGAAACAGGGAGAGAAGAACTTTCTGCTTCTGATACGTCGCAGCACGAGCAACGGGAGCTACTATTCTCGAAATGGCGCCGTACAATCTTCGCGTGACTCATGCTAATGCGGTATTTTTCACACCACCCTAGCAATCGCATTGCCACGTGTCGCACGCACGTGAGGTACGCGCCGAGCGCGGCGATTACGACGATGAGAGCAGCGATGCTCCAGAACATGCACGCGCCGCTCCACGACTGCCGCTGCACACGCCTCCTCCCGCGCCTCCCCTCCTCGCTGCGCAACAACCCTCCGCCGCTTTGCGCCACCCCGGCGCTTCCCGCATCCCCGCTGCTCTCTCCCCCCAAAACTCCAACCGTTGGTTCTCCGCTCCCCGGCCGTAATATCTCCGGCGGTGAGGCAGCGTCACTACTGCCGTCCGCGCCTATCACGGCCGTCAGATCACCGCCAGCCGTAGCAGCACTAGTAGCGGTCGTAGCAGTAGCCGTAGCGGCACCAGTGCTACTTGTACCGCTGATGATGACGGACGTAGTTGCCGAATCAGCACTGGCCACGGCGACGCTACTAGTGATGACGGCAGGGGATCCACCTCCCACGGATGAGAGACGCGCAGATTCTTCGGTAGTATCGTCGTCAGAACGTTCGCGGCGATTTCCGCCAGTCGGCCATTGGGTAACCAGACTCGGGCGCGCTTCCATATCCGCTTGCACCTCTGGTTCAGAAGACACTCGTTTCGTTGTCCACTCCTCCTCCGTCTCATCTCCACTCTCTTTCTCGCTCTCCATGTATGTTTCCTTCTCGCCCGCGCCGGCAATCGCATCTTGCCCATTCCTTTGCTGCTCTCGCTTCTCGTCTCGAAACGCTTCAGCTGTATCAGCCGCGAATCTCGCTCCCTCATTTCCCCTCGTCTCCAGTCCGTTCCCGCCCGTTGGAGCATCACCGTCGCGCTCCTCATCCCTCCTTTGTTCTTCCTCGTTCCTCTTGCCCGCGGCTTCTCCGTCCTTCGTTCGATATCTCGTTACCTCTTGCTCTCCATTCGTATTCGGCTCGTTCTCCTCGATTTCAGCAGGATGGGACTCGGACATTCCCACTTCCGTCTCACTTACCCTTGCATCTCCCTGTGCGACTATCCCTTGTGCCATGCGTTACCGAAAAATAATCCTTCCAGAGATGAATGACACGCCGTAAAAAAAAAAGACTTTCCAATCCGAAAATATGTGTATCCTGGGATAAAGCCACAGGGTCAACGCGTGCGGAATTTTTTCTCTTACAACTACTAGTACTATCTTTGTTAACGAACATGACCTAGGCCTGGTCCCAAACCATGAGATGCTAAGACCAGCCCAGCCAGCCCATCCTTGACTGATCTTTGGCGCAGCAAGTATATTACGCGTTCAAGTTCCAAGAAACGGGAGCATTTCTACGGACAATCTCACTGGCGGCCAAAAAAATGGGTGAATTATGGGCAGAGCGGTGAAGGGGTCCCTGAAGTTCTGCGATGGAGAAGAATGGGGAAGCAGAGGAGAGCGGGTAGCGACGAAGTATGGTGGTGGGGTTGGGAATTTCATGTTGCGACCAATTGTTTCTTTTCTCATCTGGTATACGACAGCGCGATGCTCGGGGAAATGTGGTAAGCGACAAGAGTGGTGTGGTGATTGGTTGACGAGCAAGTACTTCAACCCCGAACGACTTCGCGACGTTCGTGTCCAAATCGTGGCATGTAGGTGCAAATCGCCCTCCATTCCAGAACAAGGGAACGCGATCATGCGGTGCGACGTTTTGGACGCGAGGCGCATTGACGCCAATAATTGTATATTTGTGGCTGTTCTTTTGAATATGCACCAATAGAAACTGGGCAAACAAGTACACTACGGCCATTGTGTATTCTCCAGCAGCTAATACGATAACGTTCATAATTCACTTCCCCTCTCGCAAGAATTGTACGTAGCATTCAACTACCGTAGTTCAAAACCTCAACTGGGTTGGGAAGACATTTTTGCACAATATACGTCTATAGGATAGGCACTCGCAAGAAAAGCAAGGCAAAGAATGGATGAGCATCTCCAAGGCATCAGGCCTGAGAACTCGGTCTGACATGCAAGCACAACCTCGCTTACCTAAGCCTCAGATCAGGGCTCTCGCTAGGTTTTGGGGCTGTCTGACAGTAGCCTGGAAAAATTTTCCCCCGTCTTATGCTCGGACGACGAAATTTTCATGGTCTGCATTATAAGCTGAAAACATTTTTCTAGTCTGATACATAAGACGAAAAAAAATTTCAGTCAAAAGTCAACCTACTGTAATCCTGCAGAGTCAAAAGTCAACCCCATCACCGTGCAGTGCATTGAGAACCGAAAGGCGCTGCGTGTTGGGAGCGGGGGGCACTACGACCACAATGCAAATGCGCTGGCACGAGACAACGCGTTGCCGTGGATGTGGCTGGCGTCGGTGCCGACAGCCAGCCACACGACAAACTCTTGGCAGCATATGCCGCAGTTACATGACAGCGAGGCTGCTACTGGACACGCGTATTGAATGCGTGTGCAGTTACAGGGCAGCAAATGGCTGTACCTGTGGTCCTATCCTCGTCTACTGGGCATATGGCCTAATGGGTCAAGATGTCGATTTCAGACGAAACCGAACTCGATATCTGTATATTCAGATTAAGAATTCTACATGGTCTGGAAAATCATACGAACCTGAAACGCTTGTCTTACTGATCAGATGAGAAAAAACACAAAGTCCTAGGAAGCAGATGAATACAAAGTCTTCAAACTTAGACCATCAGACCAAATTGGTCTGATAACGAGAACCCTGCCTCAGATGCAAAACATGTACAAAGAACGCAACAGACACGAAGCCAAAAAACTGCCACAAGAGAACACTTCTGAAAAGCCACGGAAGAAAGTGACAGCACTTTGATTCGTTACTAAATAAACCATATATAAACCAGGTGTGCTGATGGGTCACGGGCGAGATGTGGTGGAGGCAGCGCGGTGGCGGTGGTGTCGATCCATGGCAGCCTGATGATGGTCGCTGCTGCCCTCGGCCTCCTGCACTTGAGCCACGCACCGCTTCATGCTATGTGCATGCGATGCTGCTGTCGGCACAACCAGAATGCCTGACCCTGAATCTGATTGCTGCTGCTGCTGCATATCTTTCTGGTGCTGCTGGTGCTGCCTCAGCTGCTGCTGAAGCTGTTCCTGGTGAAGCTGCTGCTTCTCCATGCGCTGCTGCTGCAGCAGTCTTTTTCTATCAACCACCTGTTGGGGAGGCACAAAAAAACACAAGGAAATCTACACCAAGAGACAACAAATATCACAGAGAAAATACACAAACTTCTAACCTCAAGTCCAAAAACAACAGTGGGATGGAAGAAACTTCTACACACCACTTCCAACCCAAAACAACACCATCTCACTCCCCAAACCCCAACACACCACTACCATACCAGAAATCACCCTCCCCCTCCCCTTCCCAAACCTCCTCCTCCCACACACCATGGGCCCTCGGTAATTCCCGCGGCGCACAACAAAGCTGTCAGGAGGCTGAAACTCCTCCAGCCACCCATACTCCACGCCCTCCTTCAGCCCCTCTGTGCTCTCCAGCGCTGGGAAACTCTCTGGTACGAGCTCTCTAAAGTACGTGCAGTGACGTCCTGCATCCGCGTTATAAGGCGGCGCGAGCACATCGAGCACAGCGCAGGGGGAGAGTGCAGTGAAGGAGTGGATGTTGCCGCCGCTGGTGGGGAAGAGGATGTCTGGCGGGCACGGCGCTGCTACCACCTGGTCTTCCACTAGCTCTGCCAGGCGCGCTGGTGGGCCAGCAGGCATGCATCATGGGCGGGATGGCAGAGGGGAGGGAGAGGGAGGGGTGTGGAGTGGGGAAGGGGAGAGATGGGTGAAAAATGTGAGAAAGTGGAGGGCTGGGGGACGGAGAAGGTAGAGCGTGAGAAGGAAGATGGGGTTCTGAAAAGCCGAGTGTGGATGACGAGACTGTGGGGGAGAGGGAGGCCACGGAGGCTGAAATGATGGCAAGGCGATGGCAGGGGAAGAGCAGGGGGGGAGAAGGGGAGGGAGGGGGGCGGAAAAGAAAACGTGTGTAAGGGAGAGACACGGGGGTAAAGAGAGAGAGAGAGGGGGGGGGGGGGGGGGGGGGGGGGGGGGGGAAGAGAGCATTACGTTGGTAAGGATCGGTGGAGGGTTCAGTGGGAAAAGCCCAGTCAAACGATCGCACGTGCATGCACCCGAACAGCAGCTTCGACAGCACCGTCATCCCCGGGTGGTTGTGCAGCGGTATGGTTGCCGACGCTGGGATGCAGAAGATTCCGATCTGAATGGTGGGACGAGGGACACGCAGGAAGCAGGAAAAGGGAAAGTGAGGGAGGGGAGAGGGAGATGGAATAGAACATACACTGAGTTTTACGAGTTTTTTTCGGAGAAAGAACGAATGTAAATACAGGAGTAGAAGTCGTTGCGGTTGCTTGTTGCGTAAAAAAAAAACTACTTACAGAAAAGTCGTCGCACTCGTATAGGTGCAGGTAAGTGATTGGCGGAGAGCATTTCGGAGTCGCAGCTGCGCCGCCGCGTGTTGCTTTCCCGCCTCCCCTCGCGTTTCCGTCCGTCTGGTTCCGCCCATCCGCGGAAACCGTAGCCCCGCTGCCGTTCCGCTCGTTCGAACCGACGCGTGCCTCCGCGCCGTCGCCTTGCGAGGAGCGCCCGACTGCCGCAGCCGTGGCGGCCTGGTTTGCGCCGTAATTCGCGGCGTTGCGATTCTCGCAGCAAGCAGCGACCTCGTCGAGTCCGACGTCGGCAGCCTCAATGGACTCTGCGATTAGCGGATGCGTTTATAAATTCCGTGAACAGGGTGCGCAAGAAAGAATGCGAATAAGTAGCGAAAAGAGAAGGTGCATGGGTGAAAGAGTGCAACGACGCAAGAAATTCCAAGAAGAAACTTGAACAAGTCAACATCTACCAGATGCAAGAATTCCTGATCCAGACAAGGACACGAGATACATAATGCGCAAGAATTCTAAAAAATTGACCTCCAGTTCGCCGTGTACTCGTCTCGTAAACCCTTTTGGCACAATTGCGACGCGAATCGGGCGAGCAGCCCCTCAATTGCGTAACTCGGGCCCGAGTAAGGTCACACGCAGCAGCCACGTACCTAGGATATCGCGAACCCGCTGGAGCGGCTGCCGAGACGGTACGGAGCCGGCATGGGAGGAGAAGGCAGCTTTGCACGCATCGTAGAGCTTCTGAACCTTGAGCATAGGCATGGCGGACAGGTTCTCTGTGGTACCGCTCTCTGCTCCTCCTTTTGTGGGAATTTACAGTCGTGTTGTGGTTCCGCCGGCGGTTGGCCTCGCTCCGTGTAACGTTGACGCCGCTGAAGAAGATAAGGAAGGCTGACAGCTCGTTGCTGCGTACGACGCGAATCCGCCCGCTTCGTCCGGAATTAGGTACAATCGAGTTGTTTATTGCTAACAAAGTCTAGAAGAAACAGGGGGACTAATTGGGTGAACGCGAGAAACAATTGACGGCCCGTCGATTCTAGATTGCCACGCACAGTCGTTTAGAGAGAAACGCGTAGCCTGTTGGTCAAAACTACTCCAGTGAGCTGAGAAAAAAACTATGAAACCAGATAAAGATCTGGCAATGGGATCGACGCCATTTCACCAGATCGGAAAAGACGTAAGGAAAAGGAGGACAGGATACACCCCACCACCTGTCGCTTCTGTCTCTACATTCATGCGAGCTTTTCGTTCTGACAATCTTGCTCCTATTCAATCCAGCATCTACGACTGGGATGGACGAGACCAGACGCAAAGCTGGTCTCTAAACGATGGGGATGCGTCAGCAGCAATCAAGGTTGCTTGCGAGTGTGTTGGGTTGGGAGTGTGTGACTGAGGCGTGTGTGAGCATCAAAGCTGCAAGGGCGAGAAGGGACCAGGCCAGGTCCAGGAGATGAGGGCGAAGGATGAGGGCGATGAGCACGGGTTGGGGTTGGGGGCGAAATGGATGACGAGGAGTGCGTGCCGCGGGGGCATACAGCGCAGGCAATGGAGGGGATGGAGCAACATGATGAGTCAGAAATGAAATGAGCCGACCACAGCAAAGGGGCAGAAATAAAATGTTTTGAGGGGAGGAATAGACGCGGGGCAAGCGAAGCTGATGTGTGTACAGTTTGTGGCGATGCGCTGGTGTTGGCTTTTTGGTTCGAGCCGGGTGAAGCTGGTGGTGGTGGTTGGATGTCCGCGGGAAGCACCAGCAGCTCGGACCGCCTGCCGCCAACGAGGGAGGGAACTTTTCATCTTTGGTGGATCATCAGGGTAGTATTCCGCGACTTGACGGAGTTGGAGGGATAAATCGCATGCCCTCATAAAGACACCTGTCCACTTGCTCGCCACACGTTGGCTGTACTTGGACACCCGTAGAGTATTCTTACGTCCCAGTCATTTGCTAAGGACCCATTCCAGCTCCTGCTGCCAACCGTGCGCAGCAGCTGCTGGTGAAAAGAATGCTGCTGCTTTTTGCGTGTACGGGGTGAGGAAAAACGGAAGTGTCGAGGAATTACACGTGCGATTTGTGATGGGGCAGTGGAGCCATTCTGAACCCTAAGCAAATCGCGTTTACCCACCCGAAACGCTGTCGACATTTCTTTTGCAATGTTTAGGACGTGGGCCCAATCGAATTTGATCGGCTCTGATAGGATCGGGTTGGATCGGATCGAATTGCTTCTGATCGTTTTTCCCGCGCCGCCCGATCAGAGATGATTTTCCTCGAATGTTTCGCGCTCTTGCATGAAAACTTTCCGCCCATTACCTGGTAGTTGCAGGCCAACTTTGGCGAGACTGACGAATCTCAGTATCGTGGTAATTTCGATTGAATTTCGAATGGGTGGCGAGACGATGGCTATGGTGCAGTTCTCGCCAATCTGGGTGTATTCGCAAGGATTTTCGAGACCCCATTGCGAAGCTTGTTACATTTTGCGTACATCGCCCAGGTCCCCGATCACATGCAATCAAGTGATTGGGTCTGATTGTGTCTGATCGGGTCTGATCGGGCTGTTTGAGGCGGTTGATCGAGTTGGAGCGATCAGCTGATCGCGATCAGCTGATTGCCCCCGATTGCCTGAAATCTGCTTCCCGCCTTCCTCGAAATTTTTGATAGCCTCTGATCGCGCCGATCAAAGTCGATTGGGCCCACGTCCTTACGGAATGTAGTAGTGTAGCAAAATTGTATTTTAACATTTTTAGCGAAAATGGGATGCTCAGGAGTCATCATTCGTGATAGAATGCTGCCTAAATGGAATGTCTGCTGGACGATGGCTCCCCCGCTTGGTCAGAGAAGAAACAAACAATGCAGTCAAAGGGATTCCGCCATCGTGCGCTGGAGGAGAGCACCAATGGAGATCTATCCTGGCTTCAACAATGCTTCTGATTTGTGAAAGGGGTTCCAACGAAGCAAAAGGAATGATTAGCTCCCCCCACCCAGAGGTTGCTGTTGGCCTTGGTTGCTGTCATCATCAAGGGGCCTCCATTTTTTTGAGGGGCAGGATACTACAGTGATGGGACCGAGGAGCAGACCGTAACGTCATATGTTTTCTGGCCAGTATAAGTAGTATAAATATCTCATATACATACAGGTGACTGTCCCACTAAATTAGATATTTATTTACACCTTATTAAATTTATTCATACTCATTATTTATGTTATTTTCTTAAATGTTTTGTAATTTACATGATGGGTTTTTTCCTCACATGTGCACAAATGCTGTTTCGGTACTAATATCATTCAAGCTATGGATAGGATGCTACCTGCCGCTGATTGGTTCTGAACGAATATCGAAGCCTGCTTACACCATGGCTCAGCATACAGCCACAAAACGCATTCGGCAGAACAACAAGCAAACCTACGTTACGTTGCTTGATTGGTCCAATCGGTTTCCGCAGACTTTGGGACTTCTGCAACACCGTCGATTTCCTGCTTACCTTGCCGCTGGCGGCGCAACAAGGCTTGGAGAATTATCCCTAAAGAACGGTACTGTGCGGTTCCCAGTGAAGTTCTATGGCAGACCTTCACATCACACTCCTCAATGCACAGCACTGGTTGCTTCTGAGACTCGGGGCCCAGGCCCTGCTCGACAGGCTAACACCGACGCCTGCGGAATCATCGCGGCTGTTTCGAATTCTCATTTTTTCTCACGGTCAGCCCGTGAAATAAGCAACTGGGGCTTTAACACTTGTTAACCTGTTGGCAGAGTGTTAGCCTGTCGAACGCAACCGAAACCTGACCCCTTCGCCCTCACAGAAAGAACCAGGTGCCTTCCCGCACGGGCAAAGGTCTAGCCCTCGCCTAGCCTAACCCTCGCCCCCCAAAAGTGGGGTTTTGCAAAGGGCTCGTCAAGTGTTTGCAGTGGGAGGAATACCCAATCCGTGTACCCTAAACTATTCCTTTTGAACCAGTTTGGTTGACAAAATTCTCCCATTAAAAAAATCTTCCTTGTGAGGCGAGCGATTTGTGGGGAATGCCTTTTTTTTCCGGCGTTGTTACCCAGACCCCGTTGGCGAGCGGCCCAAAGTTTTCTACTGTGCCCGCAGTGACCCAGGCTGAAAGGGGCGGGCAGCTTCGCCTTGTGGGCTCCGCTCCTTCCGATTGCTAGGGGCGAAGCTACCGATTGATTTGGTTGTTTGATCAGCTCGGGAAGTTGCTCTGAACCCTTCCCTGAACACTAGCCTAACACTCGCCTTTTGCATAGTGTTAGCCTGTCGAGCAGGGCCCCAGTTTGCTTCACGCAGCGCCATTGGCTGAAAATCCTAGATCCTTCCTCCCCTCTGCTGCTCCCTTCTGCGCCCTTATCATCTGGTGCTGGCTTGTTTGTCACTCCCTCCTGTCCCGTGATTATTTTCAGCTCACGGTTCTATTAGATAGGTCACGTTTAAATACGGTAATGCGCAAAACGAGTGAAGAACCCAGCCAAAAAATCTATGGGATATCTGAACCACCTCACACAGCGAGCTGCAATCTCCCTCTCCTCCACTTCAGCATCCTGGTGCACTTGGCAGCTTACCACGCCAAAACTAGACCCCCCAAACTTCAGCAGCGCTGTACGGAACTGGTGACATTGCGCTGCAATAGTTGACATGCCTGCTTCTGTTGCAGGCTCTCTCAACAAGACAGCCTGCTCCTGTTCCACTTCGTCGTGAACCTGTCTCCAACAACTGGATGATCTCAATGCGTCGTATTTAGCCATTCATCCGACACATAGTTTCGAGGTCGGCTTATTGAAGCCTGTATAATCTATGGCGTTCATTACTAGGCCCCACGGCCTGCCTCCTCCGTCGACTCAAATTTCAACAGCTCTAAGCCGCAGCTCTCATTATTCCTGCGTCAGGTTCTTGGCGCCTGCGTTTAGCCAATCCCTGCTATTGTCCTGCCCTTCTCCCGAACCCCGGCCGGGTGATCTCTTCTCGCACCGTCGTCTATTAATTGGCAAAAACGTATCTCGCACAAGGCGATGTCGCGCATCCGGTACGACAAACGAAATATTCGCTCCCGAAGATCGTAAAGTGCAGTTTTCTCGGTCATTGTCATCATCCCATAGGACCGTCATTCGAAGAGGCGAAGGATGTTCTTATATTGGAGTGGAAGGTCCGCCAAGGAGCTGGATCACCCTCGAAGCTTCCGCAGTCACTTATTCCTTGTCGACTGTTTCAAAGGCGACGTCGAGCAGTCCCTGTCACCCTTCGTTCGTACCTCTGCGGCGTCGCACGCAATCGGGCGCGATATCGCAGCCCCGCCCAGGCTCTGCAACAGCCACTACAGCCGCCTCTACAGTAGGCACAGCAAACCATTTACGGCGTCACAATAGACGGGTTCGCACGCAGTCGCACGGGCCTCAGCGATCCTGTTCTCTGGCTGACGCGTCAGCAGCTTCACCACGTTGCAACAACATCCCCCATTTAGGATTTTCCAGGAGCAGAATTAAATGGCGAGAAAGGATTGGAGCCGAGGTGCAGAGGGAGTGCGGAAGGGGGTTCAACGGTTTCGTAAATCCGGTGTTGAATCGCAACGGCGGTGCTTACCGAAAAGTGTCGGGCTGTGGAGGACGCAGTAACAGCTTCGTGTGTCGAACCATCAGTAGAGTTTGCGAGGACAGCGGGGGCAGCGGCGGCAGCGGTGCGAGAAGCAGCGACAGCAGCACGGATTGTGGCAGCAGCTTTAGGCCCGGTGCGGATAGTGGCTACGATGGGCATGAGGAGAGAAGGCT